ATGCTGGTCTCAGGGAGCAAATCACCTCTCAAGAGGCTGTTACAAAGCAAGGCAAGCCTACATGCTAGGCTCTATTTCCTTGTCTGTTTCTCTGCTATGTTGTTTATACAACTGGGGGCGGGGCACAGGGGCCAAACAGATGGGGCTGCCTGATCTTGGACTTTCAGCATACCAAACTGAGAGTTCTAAAAACTGTTTTTCTTTATAAAGTACTCGATATTAAGTATTCTGTTATAGTAACACAAAACAGGCTAATACAGGGTTATGAGACATATATGTGAAAAATGGAAAATGTCATTTGAAGAAAGTTTAGGTATTGGTAGTAACTTCTGCCAATCTATAAATTTTTAATAGTATTTTTTCCTTTACCTTCTTCCTTTTTTTCCCCCTTATGTTACTGAGGATGGAATCCAGTGCCTCATGGGTGCTAGGCAAGTGCTCCACCACTTAGCTATATCCCCAGCCCTAATAATATAGTATATTCTAAAGAAGGCTTTTTTCCTTCTGGCCTAAAATAGGTCCAATGGCCTGTGAACTACAAAGTATAGATTACAAAAACATCACTTTGCAAACAGTCTATAGCTAAGTACAATTAAAATTGTTGTAAAAACAAAACAAAACTGGGCATGGTGGAGCATACCTGTAATCGCAGCATTCTGGGAGGCTGAGGCAGGAGGACTGCAAATTCAAGCCCATCCTGCAGTTTAGCAACTTAGTGAGAAACTGTCTAGAAAAAATTTAAAAAAAAAAAAAAAAAAAAAAAGGGCTAGAGATATAGCTCAGTGCAAAGGCCCTGACTGGGTTTAATCTCCATTACTGGAGAAAACCAATAAACGAGGCCTCAGTGCTTAGCACAATTAACACTTTAATAAAAACCTCCAATGATATTTGTTGGGATAATTTAAATGAGAGTGACAGAGAAGAATTTAAAGCTAAATTAACTAAAGATTTAAAAAGAAATGTCTTGTCTGACTTTGGCCCAGATCAGCACTTGGAACTGGATATCAAGAGGATCAGCTTTATGCCTAGGTAAATTTTATCTACTTATAGTCTGGGACACTAAAGAGAACTTATCATTTTCACCTGGCTCTGACAGCACTCAGATTTCCCAAATAGCCCAGCTGTGAAACTGACCCTGCCAAAACTCAGTCACCACCCAAGGAAATGGCAGTAAGGGGAGGGGCCGTCTAATTGTGCCATTATTGGTCTTTAACACCTGCATGCTAATTCTTAATCTGGAATTATCCAGTAACCAGCCCTGACAAACCTTGTAAATACAGAAAGAAAGATGGATTAGTGCTCCGACCACAGGGTTATCTGGGAACCCCTGCCCGGTTGATCTCTGGGTTGGGAATGTTCAAAACAAAGAAGGAAGCGGAAATCAGGAAAATGGGAATTGAAAGCCAAGTACCTCCGTACACAGCTCTTAACCACAGTGGCCCTACCTTCCTAAATCCAAAGGGTCTCTCTAGGAAGAATGACGCATTATATGAAATGGACTTCATAAATTCTGGCACATTACAACTGAGATGTATTAAAATTAAGAAAAGTTCTCTGAGAAATGAGAACAGGCCCCAAAAAGGAAAATAAAACAAAGATAATTTAATGAAAGAATCAGAAATAGGTAGTAGAGATTTGATGGCAAAGTACTGGGTTAGTGTCCCACGAGGGTCCAAGTTCCGGTTCTGCCATTTACAAGCCATAGGCGACCACATACATATCCCCTAGCCCATGAATCTTAATTTTTTTCTTTTACCCATCTCTCAATGTATACATACACACACACACACACACACACACACACACACACACACGCACGCGCCTTTTTTTCCTCTCCAGCCCAAGCCTAGGCAACGACAGGATCTTTTGTGGAATGTGACTACAGTGAGAGGCTCACTCAACTTGAAGGGGAAGACAGAATGTCTTTGCCATTAATATTCTGTGGAGTCCATGAAGGCATATGGATCTACATACTTATGGTTTTAGGAACAGGCTCTCAATTTGTTTCTATTTGCAACATTATCTTTGGCTCCTTTAAATTTCTAGAAGTTTGCTGATGAACGTAACTACATACACATTCAAGACCCAGTTCTTCAAGAAGAAATTTCAACCCAAAAAAGACTGAATCCTTTCAATAATAATAGCACTACTAATAGGAGAATATACAAAAGTCATGAAGATTCAGTGTTCATTTGGTCAACTACTTAGGAGAATTAAATGAGAATCAGAGAAATTTTCAAAGACATTATGGCAATTTTTATTGTCTGTGAAGACCAACTCTTTCTCTACGAAATCCTGTCAAATCACACTAGCAGGCAACTAAAAAAACACCATTAAAACCATTTCCTTAACATATATATTCAATGACATCCCTACTGTGTTCAGATTTACCAATGCTTTCCAAAAGGGGAATAGTGCTCAGGGAGAACTTTTTAACAATCATTTTGAGAGCAACTCTAGTTGCTTCAGGTAGCGCTCTCATATTGAGCTGTGGTCTTTCTCAGAGGTCTGCAAGAAAAGAAAGTCAATTAGCAGGGCTGGGGATTTAGCTCAGTGTTTCCACCGCCTGCCTTGCAAGAGCAAGGTCCCAAGTTCGATCGCTGGTACTAAAAAAAAAAAAAAAAAAAGACAGAGAGAGAGTAAATTAGCACCTTGGACAATTTAGTCCAAGAGTGAAAAACTTATTTGAATGTTATAGCTGAACAAGGGACAGCCACTGTAACCAGAGAATTCTAAGGCTATGACAAAAGGATTTTTAAAGCCTTTTAAAAATATAAACATTAAAAAGAGAAGTAAGAAAATTAGCAAGAAAGAGGTGGTAGCTAAGGTAGGAAGTGAAATGGTAGGAAATGAAATTGTCATGAACTGGTATGAGATGGGGAGGATGGAATAAAGCAGAGGGTGAACTGGGGCAAAGAGAAGAGATGATCTTTCAAACTCAGAGCTCTTAGGGCTGGGGATTTAGCTCAGTGGTTCCGCCGCCTGTCTCGCAAGTGCAAGGATCCGAGTTCAATACCGGGTACCGAAAAAAAACAAATAAAACTCAGAGCTCTTATTCAGAATCCCCAGAATGTCCTGTTTCTACCTCACAGTTCCATTAAACTATCCTGTGTATGTTCTAACAGAAAAATGAGAGAAAGGCATGAAATGTAGTTCAGTGGTAGAGAATATGCCTAGCATGCACAAGGCCCTGGGTTCAATTTGATCCCCAGTATGACCAAAAAAAAAGCAATTTCTAATAAAAGTAGAGAGTAAGGGTCGGGGATTTAGCTCAGTGGTTTCGCTGCCTGCTGCACGAGCACAAGGACCCGAGTTCGATCCCCGGTACCAAAAAAAATTTTAAAAAGGAGAGAATTAGGCTCATCTGACTCTGAATCACTGAACCTTGCTTTCAAAACATATCATACACATACGCTCTATAATATGCATATTAGAGCAAGCACTTGATTAGGGTGTGACTTTGGTCGCATTTTTTAAAAATTAATTTGCCTCTCATTCTTGTACAAGGGCCATGCTAATCTTCTCTGTATTGTTCCACTTTTAATATACATGCTGCCAAAGCAAGCACTGGTGACATCATTCTTAACTATTCTGTACTTCTATCTATTCCACCACTTCTGTATCACAGGCACTAGAGCCAGGAGGAACTCTAGAGATTAACTGTGGCCATGGGTGTAGTCAACCCAATGCTTTTAGAACAAAACAGAATTTTGAAGAAAGGGACTTACATTTCCACACACTTGACCCTCTTCTAATCCTCACTCACACGATGGAGCTTCAGAAAAATCCCGTCCTCTCTGAGCCATGACCTCAATATCAGAAGGACAACCATTTCTACTTATTCAAGAAATGATGAAAAGATAAATTCACAAATAATTTTTAAATTATTTTTTAAAAGGGCTGGGTATGTAGCTCCATGGTAAAGAATTCTTGCTTGGCATGTAGGAGGCCCTGGGTTCAATTCCCAGCACAGCCAGAAAAAAAGAAAAAAAGTAAGAGTGTGTGTGTGTATGTGTGTGTATTAAGGGGAAAAGCTAACACTTAGTAGATGGCAACAGTTGAATTCACCACATGTATGCCCTATAAGAAAGTATCACTTGCTGACCTTGGATCTCTTTCGTTGCCTCCAGTAAACACCTGAACTGTCACCTCCTCACTCTTAGGGGATGTGTCAGCTGCTGTGAAAACATAAACCAAACTTACCTGGACTGTGGTGACCTTAAAACTTAGAATCTGGTGGTGCAAATTCTCTATGATGAGTGTTAGCATTATGTATGCCTAAGATGTACCAATAAATGTTTTGCTATTAAAAATAAGTAAGTTTTTAAAAACTTGGAATTTTAGGGAAAATACTTTAAAAGTTTTTTGTACTCTGAATCAAACTTGGGGCTTCCCACATGCTTAAATACGATCTTTTGGGTTGGGGATGCAGCTCAGTGGTAGAGTGACTTCCTAGCACCACCACAAAAAGAAAACAAAAAGCCTTTTAATTGCTTCCCTTGTTACTACAGATTTTAAGATATAGAAATTTGCTAAAGATTTAAGGTTAAAAAAATAATTTATAGTGAAACTGTTTTTTAGGTAAGGGATGTTGCTGAGGATTGGACCCAGGGCTTTGGGCATGGGGCTCTACCACTGAGGTACAACACAGCCCAATGTTATTGTTTTTAATGGCTTAATCATTGCCTCTTTTTGGGAGTTTTATCTGTAATATGGGGATTGAGGGTGAGAAGCACCTATTCTGTGATTAACTACAATGAAAGAAGGGTGAAAAGTGCTGCAATCTGTCCTTAATGAAACTGAAGGGCCTGAGAATACTCCTGCTATTCATGAATAAAATATGGAGTGGAAGCCAGAAGTGCAATTTAAGTCTCACCTTAGCTGCACTACATTTTCAAACTTTGCATAATGTGGAAAACTTATAAGGCACTTGGTTTAAAAATAAGATCGGAGGTTTCTAAGTCTTAGAGACAAAGGGAAATGAAAATTGTATTACCCACCTTCAGACTACATTCTCTTGCACAGCTCCTGACAAGTGGTCTTGTAACTTAACTGGTGATGCTAGCTGGTCTTGCATCCCATTCCCAAGAGCCCCACTTCCAGCCAGGGTGGATTTCTGAACCTCCTGGGAAAAACCTCAGGTCTCAACTAAGAACAGGCACTAAACCAAAGCTGTTTAGAAGAGGAAGGGGAAGGAGGGTTCGCTAGTGAAAAGTTTTGCTCACAGTTCAGAGTACACTATATTCATCTTTTTTCAAAATAAGTAAGTCCTTGTTCTTCACATTCCATTTCCTAAGTCTGAGAGTAGGTAAATGTAAATTTCACTGAAACTACAACAGGATTATAGTGCAACATGTCAAACAACCTTCTAAAGGACACTGGAAGGCAAGTCAGATCTCCCAGCTTCCCCTCTCCCAACCCCAACATCCCTTATCAATGGACATAACAGTCAGGGATAATCCCTGCTGGAACTGAGGAGCCCATCTGTAGAAAGCAAACATTCTCAGACATTCTGCATCAAGCCCTAAATCTCCACATTAAAGCCGGGGAAACCTGGAAAAAGAAGAGTGGCCCAAAGATAACTGAGGAAATCTTAGAAGCAGTAAACCTAACCATAGCAGACTTAGGTGGAGAGAGGTTAGGCTTCAGTAATGTTTGCCAGGGCAAATATTAATGTGTTGCTCTTCTCACTACATACTCAATCCTTTTATAGCAAGATTCCAGGCTGATCTCAAGAACTCACGTAGGAGGATTTTATTACTGAAGTCATCAAAACATCAGTTACAAGGCAGGTCTGCCTTTAGGTTAGCAGCAGAGGGGAGCCTCCAAGTCTGAGCTCTGGGGAAGCCTTTGTTCAGGGAATCCTACCCCTCAGGCAGGGCTGTAATTTCAAGTCCCCAAATCAAATTTTAAAAGTGCCCCCTTGGAGAGCTGCAGAATAAACAAACAGGTCTGGTACTTTTCCTGGAACCTTTTTGCTCCCTCCCCCCACAATATCAAATTACTGCCCCCCCTACAGTTCCTTTTTTTTTAAACCGAATCACCCTATTGTGCATCTACCATTTCAAATACCTTGTAAATACATTCCCATTCTCCCCTCTCCCAAGTCTCCTAAGAATCTGGGAGGAGCTAACAAATGCAATTTGAATAATAATGAAGCAACCGAACAATTTAATTAGGAAAGGTAGCCCTAGAGACTCCAATAAAAGGGTTGAAAGCCTTTATCTATAAAAATGTGGCCGGGTACTCAACAGTGGGACCAATTAGGGAGAGTGCACAGGACAGAAATGCTCAGGTGCACACACCAGTTTAAGCAAATGGGAATCAGCACAAATCCTCCCAGGAGAGAAGACACTGGGGAAAAAGGGTGACTTTGCTGCTTTCTCATCTGCCATACTCAAGCTTAGTTAACTTTATTCTCTTTCGGATTCATTGCAAGTCGTGCCTAAACTGTCCTCGGAGAAAGACTTTGTACAGAGAATTTAAAGCAAGTGAATTCTCAACAGACGTTCTTAAAAATCAAATTACAAAGGTACTTTCATCCCTCACACAATTTCTTCAGGGTGAAGCATTAGTTATTTTCTCTAGGATGCAGACAGCTTCTCTGAGACTATCCTGTTTAACAGACGCATTCTACTGACCTTTTCAGATGACCTTACAGATCTTTTGCTTGCTTTTGAGGAAATAAAGATTATTCTTTCTGGAATCCTAAAAAGCTCTCAATTTCCTTAGGTCTTAAGAATAAAATTCAGGAAGCCCCCACAGGCTGAATGATTACTAAAACCAGCTTCTTGAACAGGAAACAGAGTTTGCTTCAGAGACAAATAGTTCCCCCGCCCCACTCTCACTCCCGGCCAGGCACTGCCATGCCCTGCTGGTTGGTAACACTTAGCACAGATAAGGTGTCCCAACAATGGCCTTCGCCTGGATCCCGGGAAACCCTCGGCCACTCGAGAAGTTCCTCTCCACCCGGGCGCGCGCGTCCACCCGCCCGCCCGCAGGATGAGTCCCGCGGCGACACAGGGCGAGACTGACACCCGCAGCTGCCGGAGACCTTACCAGTCACGCTGCCGCCCGCTGCCTTTTTTTAGCCTCGACATCTGAGCCCCCCCCCGCGTCCCCCCCCCCTTAAACAGCAGTGTTCTTGGAGAGGTCCCAGGGCACGCAAGAGGTCCTCTCCTGTCCGAAACCCCCGGACCCGGCGCAGACCTCGCGGCGAGGGCTGGGGAGGCACCGGCCCGGAGGCACCGGCCGGGAGGCGCCGGAGAGCGCGCGTTTCTCCTTCCCAGACTCTTCCGCCTCCCCTTTCCTCACCGACCCTGGTCCCCATTCGGCCTCCAACACCGGGCTCCCCCATTTCGCAGCTCGAGGTCGCCTCTCTAGCGTCCCCCACGCGCCCCCCTAGTCAGTCCCCTGGATCCCCTCCAAGTCCGCAGCCCGCGCGCCCGGCCCGGCGGGGGCGGGAAGACTCGGAGGAGCGGAAGGGCGCTCACCTCCCTCCTCCGCCCCGCTGTCCAGATCAGCGTCCGAGGAGTCGGGGCCGTCCCCGTAGTCCGCTAGCCCCACCAGCTCATCCTCCTCCTCATCCTCCTCCTCTTCCTCGTCCTCGCCGTCGTCCTCGTTCTGCGGCTGCGGCTTCCCCAGCACCTGGCTCATCGCGCCCCCCGGACAGCTGGCGCTAGGACGGCTGGGGTCCCAGTGCGAGCCAAGCCTCCTCGCCAGCCGCTAGCAACCTTTTTGTGAATTGGGGTTTTGTCTGGAGCTTCGCGGTCGGCGGCGGAGGCACGGGCTGCGTGTCCCCTGCGGCGGGCGGCGCCCAGGTCGGGGTCCCGGGGTTCCCAGCACTCCAGGAGCCCCCTCCCCCGCCCGCCCGCCGGCGGACTCAGCCGGAGCGCGGCAGTTCCTCCCCAAGGAGGGAGAGGGAGAGACTGCGTGACCCAAGTCACCTGACACACACTGTCACACACACACTCCGCACGGGTGCGCGCGCGCTCGCCCGCCCGGCCGCAGGCACCGCTCGGCGGGGCGCCGGGCCACACATACTCTCAAGCACTAGGGGTGCAGGATGGCACAGCGCCCCCCACCCACCCAGACACTCTCACAAGACACTCGCGCCGAACATGGGTCCCCGGGACGCGGCACTGTCACTCACTGCGGCGGCTGTGCGCCAGGGGCCCCCACGCGCGGCTCCCGCACGTGGTCTTGACACGGGCGGCTAAGCTGGGGGAGGGGAAAGCCTGCAAATCCGGAGAAGCCACCCACACCCCGCCAAGCGCGCACCCGCAGCGCCCCTACCTTGGGCTAGATGAGGTTCCAGTCCCAGTTGGGCTGCCCCCCAACATTGCGGTGCCCAAGCCCTCAACGCAGAGCAGTATGGTAGGGACACCCTGTAGATGCTGAAGCGCCCCAGGAAAAGAACTCAGAAATGCACAGCGGCGGTGCAGTCTCCATACCAATTGCCTTTTAATGTGCCTTTATGGCTCAAAGTATTTCCCATCAAGAATATTTTAAAAATCGGGCCCACGCTGATGTAAATATTTCTGAAGAAATCACACGTCTCATGGTTGCCAAGACTAAATAATAATTCCGCTGCAGCCTTTTGGAAAAGGTCTCAGGTGTATAACAAGCTCAGGGTTTATTCATAGCTGCCTCCTCATGTCTCCTTGTTGCATAGACTGTGATTTAAATAAAATAAAATTTTCAAGGCTTTTGTGGGAGGTGTCTGGGGTGTGGGGACAATCCTCAAATAGGAATAGCAGCAATGCGGGGGCGAGCCTAAAACGTGCGATCCTCCTTCACAAGATTTTCACCACAGGATATACAGTACCCACCCTTTCCGAGTATTGCAAAAAAATCACATGGGTGAACTTCCTTCTGTTCAACACAATAAGAAAAAAAAACAAAAACGGGCTGGTCAGCAAGGTGATCCAGATCCCACAGGTGCCAGCAGCTCAGCAGGTGGTGTGGCACAGAAGAGGAGAAAGGGAACTCAGACTGGAGACTCCTGGGGCCAAAGAGGGACTTGCCTTACTAGGGACTGTTTATTTAGCACCTACTATACTATATCCGGGGGCAGAATTAAAGGGGTCCAAGAATTTGCGGGGCAGGAAGAAACGTGCTCTCAGTCTACCAAACTATGACTTGTGTCCTGGATCTTTTAGTAGTTCTGGGTATTGAAGGTGGGTGGCTTCTTCTGATAGGAAAAGTCCTAAAATTTCCGGGAGGAGCCAGAAGGAAACTATTGGTGCATGCAAAAATTTTAACTGAAAAGCCTTTAAGTGAAGTGACAATTTACAGGACTGTGGGCAGAGTTAGGGAATCAATACAAGGATTAGTGGTAGTGGGAAGATATTACCAGCCCTAAAACTCCAGGAGTAAAGGAAGGGGTCTAGGGTGCTGGAAAGGTCCCCAAAAAGGCATTATAACTGATGAAGAAGTGGTGACATCAAGGAGATCACTGTGGAAAGAAAACCCTGATACACACACACACACACACACACACACACACACACTCCCTCTACTCTCCAGTACATGTTTCCCATTAGTCAAAGCCAAATGAAAGTCAGAAGGCCAGGGAATCTGGAACCTCCTCCGGGACAGATTGAGTAGGGAAGGTAGAGGGCAGGTCCCAGTGAGGTACAAACCAGTGGGGTTGCAAACAGCATCACCAGTACCACTAGGCACTACTTAATCTTTTCTAAGGGAAGTTACCTTTCTGAACCTGGCTGCTCATCAGTAAAACATTACCTCCTAAAAGGTAGTAGGAAGATTAAATGAGAAAAAGAAATTCTCAGGTTCTTACAAAGCTCATTTTGTAGGGGCAGTTCTCCAACCCTTCTTTTTTTTTTTTTTTTTGGTACCGGGGATCGAACTCAGGTCCTTGCACTTATGCAGCAGGCGGTGAAACCACTGAGCTAAATCCCTGGCCCAGTCCAACCTGTTTTTATCCTTTACAAAGATTTTCCCAAGTAGGTGTGTGATTAGCCCAGAACAAGCCCACCAGCCTGAGGAGGCCTTTGAGCTGAGCTGATTCAAGCTGCAAAAAGCTACTTCTTAATGAGACCTGAGAAGTTTGTCCAGGTTCAACCCAAATTCAAACTGTCAGGGCATCCCTGGGCTGGCTGCTGAATGTGTCTGTCCCATGGACCCAGCAGTGAGAAGACAACTCATACATAACCCAACAACTTCACTTTGCCTGAGACGGAAAAAGAATGAAAATGTCTGATGATCCTTTGACTTTCCCCAGGAAGAGAGACCTTAGAGAGGGAAACACCAGCAACAGAACAAAGCACACCCTGAGATAACTGAAAATTAGGCTAGTCTTGAGGATAAAAAGGACCAAGTCCCACAAAAATCAGGTGAAAGTAAATTCCCCATCACTCTCCAGCCCAAGCTAGATAAATGAGATATTCAGGTTTAAGACATTCTAAATCACCATCATTTCAGAAATGTATAGTATTTGCAAAGTTTGACCAAACAGGAGGGGGAAAACCTTTAATGCTTATCTTCTGTTGCTATTATTGCAATACTGAAGCTTTCAAACAAGGGATATATTGGGGGGGAACCCTAGAAGCAGTTCTTAAATTAAAAAAAAAATTGTGTGTGGATTCTTTCAAAATTAAAATAAAGTTGAAAAACGCTACATGAACCCTGAACACCTTCAAGAAACTCAGTGTGGAATCTGGTGACTTGGCTGCTGCCTTGGCCCCTCATTGGCTCCAGCTCAGCCTGTCTGTGGATGTCTCCCTGGGAGAGTGTTCTCAAGAATGTGAGGATGTGACTCGTGGCTACTTTGTTCTTGCTGTTGTATATAACCATGGCAGGTGTCTTATATTTGATAGGTGCTTGATAAGTGCAGGCAGAAAGAAAAGGAGGGGAAGAATAAGGGAGGAAGAAAAGAAAGTTAGGAAAAAAAAGTAGATAATATATGACCTGTTATCCACACAGATCTCATATATTTTAGAAAGAAACATCAGCAAGAGTGAGAAGCCAAATCTGAAATGAACAGACATTTCTCAGACAAAGAAGTAAAAGCAGCAAATGAACAGATGAAAAAATGCTCAACATCACTGGTCATTCAAGAGATGCAGATGAAAACAACAGTGAGATTTCACCTCACCCCAGAAAGAATGGCTGCTATCAAGAAATCAACCAATAACAAATGCTGGTGGGTTGTGGGGAGAAAGGAACCCTTCTTCATTGTTGGTGGGAGTGCAAACTGGTGCACCCACTGTGGATATACCTCAAATAACTAGGATTAGAAGTCCCATTTGACCCAGCTATTCCCCTGCTGGGTATCTTCCCAAAAGAATTAAAAGAATTGTACCACAGTGATATATGCTCACCCATGTTTATAGGGGCACAGTTTGTAATAGCTAAAATTTAGAAACAGCCCAAATGCCCATCAACTGGAGATTGGATAAAGATGTGGTTTTTTAATAAAATGGAGTACTACTTAGCATAAAGAGTGAGAAACTAGAGACATTTATAGCTAAGTGGATGCACATTGAGGCCATCCTCTTAAGTGAAATAAATAGGACACACGTGTAAATATTGAATAGTTTCTCTGGTGTGAAAAACTAAAAGTGTAAATAAGGATCAAAATGTATAATTGATATTGTGAAATAGGAAGAAAAGGTCTAAAGGAGTAGGGGAAGTGGGAGGGGTGGGGGAAAGAAAAGAAGGGAAAAGAGAAAATGAAAAAATGGAAACAAAGTCTTTGTAAATAGGGAAGGGAGGGCAGGGGAATGGGGAAAAAATAAGAACCAAGATACATCATGTAAAGGTACAAGATCCCAATGATGAATGTAACTGTATTGTATACCTAAAATGTACCAATAAAGAATGGGGAAAAAAAAAGAGCGAGAAGCCAAGTTTGGGCTTGGGAAATGGGAAATGGCAGAGTGAGCTGAATATGAACTGTGAGCCATGCATGGTGGTACGTGCTTGTAATCCCAGCACTG